AGTATATGTTTTTCTTGAAAAAAGAGATGTGTAATAGATAATTATAGTACATGGTGATAGGGGTAATAACTAGAGGTATAAGGAGAGTGTTATTAAGAGCCTGGAAGGAGCCACTTGTGCCTCTTGGGAAAATCAAGGAAGATACACAGAAGAGATGTATTGAGTGTTCACAATCTCCCTCAGGGCAGGGACTGTAACTTTTGTATCTTTACAGTGCCTTGCACATAGGAACTACTCAAGAAAAGTTTATGGAATTGTGTAAGTCATTTAACTTTTGTATCCTTAGTGTGTGACTTTCTTGGAGAGAAGATTGCATCTGTTTTGGGCATCAGCACCCCCAAATATCAATATGCCATTGATGAGTATTACCGGATGAAGAAGGAGGTGTGTCTCCTTTTTATATTTTTTTCATTCAGTTTGGTTACCTTGGACTTCATGGGTTGTATAATGAGCATATTATATAAATGCTGCCCAAAAGAGAGCTCCCTTAGGATAGGCATTTCACTCTAGAGTTATTAATTTATCAAGTTAGATATTTTTAATTTTTATATTTTTTAATACTGAAATTCCTCTAGGATCTTTGTGTGAAACTAAGCTCAATTTCATTGTGCTAGGTGTTATGTGAGGTGTTATTTAATCTTCATACATCTCTCTTTGGATTATTCTTCCAATTTTAAGATGAGGAAATAAGACTTAGTCTCTGTACTTAGGATATGTAGACATGGAGGGTTAGATGCACAGAAAATTACAAGTACTAGAAATGTGTAAGTGCCAGTTGTTAAGGTACAAAGAGGTGAAGCAATTTTGTCTGCAAATGTAGTGAGGTCTTAGAGTGGGGGTAAAATGGGTTGAGCCTTAAGGAATGAGTTTAGCTCTCAAGAGCATGGGCTGAAGAACCAAAGGGTTGAATTCTGGTTCTGACTCTGCCACTTTAACTTTGTAACTTTGGGCAACATGCTTAACCTCTGTAAGCCTCAGTTTCTTTAAAAAAATTTTTTTAAATGTTTATTGATTTTTTGAGAGAAAGAAACAGAGTGTGAGTGGGAGAGGGGCAGAGAGATGCACAGAATCCGAGCCAGGTTCCAGGCTCTGAGCTGTTAGCACAGAGCCTGAAGCGAGGCTCAGACTTGTGAACCGTGAGATCATGACCTGAGCTGAAATCGGACGCTTAACCGACTGAGCCACCCAGGTGCCCCATGTAAACCTCAGTTTCTTTATCTTAATAATCAGAAGTGTGCCATCCATGTTCAGGGTTGCTCTAAGGATTAAATGAGTTAATATGTAAGATGCTTAGAAAAAACACCCAATGTATATGGGGCATGAAATAAATATTGGAATCTTTTATTATTCTCCTTCAAGCAAATGGGGAGGGCAGTTCAGCTAAAGCTAGAATGTGGAGACATGAAGAAAAGTCATGTATTCGGAGAAGTGCCAAGAGTAGTATTTTGTCACTGGAGCAGAGTGCGATGGGGGAATGGCTAAGGCAGCTTACTTTATATTTGTTATATGGTTTCAAAAATGCTTTATGAACACATGTGTTTTTAACACTGCCAGCCTTGTTTAGAGTCTCATTACCTCATCTGGACTATTATAGAGTCCTAAATGTTCTCTCTTGTTTTCTCTCAAGCAGGCTCTAGATTAATCTTGACATGTTATTTATTCTATACTGACTGTCCATATTGCATTGACCAATACAGCTGCCACTTCCTCCATGAATTTAGTAGTTCTGCAACTAGAAATTATTTACTGTCTAAATCACTATAGTACTTATTCCTTTCTGTCTTAATACTGTTTTTACATGTCTTAACTTCCCTCCTAGATTATAAATTTCTTGAGGGCAGTGACTGCCTTATATGTATACTGGCTGCTTACAGGAACATTAACTACGTTATACCATTTAGTGAATAGACCACCCTATTCCAATGAATAGGCTGATACCCTATAATTGAAGTGATACAGTATTTAGCAATATTTTAAAATTTAGATTAGAATCTGAAAAGATACAGTCTCAGTCAAAGTTAATTCAGGTCCCAATCTAAGCTAAGCAGTGCTGTACTGTGTTTTAAAAATCACATCACTTTCCTTAAAATGTCATATAATAGTTTCCGTTTGGGAACAGGGGACAGGGAGATGTGTCTTGTCTTAATTGGACCAAACTGAATTGGACAGGACACTAAAGTTTCAGTTAAAAAAACAAAAAAAGGCACAATCAGTTGAAAGTAGGGGAATAAATACTACTCCTTCTGGGCATTTATATTTCAACTATTCTTGGTATTTCCTCTTTTTAGGAAGAAGAAGAAGAAGAAGAAAACAGAATGTCTGAAGAAGCAGAAATACAGTACCAGCAGAATAAACTGCAGGCTGATTCCATTGTTCAGACGGATCAACCAGAAACAGGGGCGTCCAGTTCATTTGTGAATCTTAATTTTGAAATGGAGGCAGACTGTGAAGTAATTATGGAAAACAAACAAAATCCAGTCCCAGTCCCACCTTAGAATGAATGACTATCAAATTTCAAACTGTAAGGTTTTTATAATACCAGGAACTTTCACATTCTTTATTCAGTGGGACACAATACAAATATTTATATTTTAAATTATTATCTGGAAAGGGAGAACTGTTTCTTTATTCTTAGGCTCTATCTAGCAAAAGCCCGATCTGAAATTTGGGTATTTATACTATGCTTTTACTGTATGTCAGTTAGTGCTTTGGTTTTAAAATATTCTTAAAAAAAAAATTAAGGATATTCTAAAGCCTTAATTGCCAATTAAGAGTTAAATGATCAAACGTGTCTGTTATTTGTGTTTGTAAGAAAAAAATAGTTAAATTACTGATTATGACTAAGTGGAGCTTGATCTTCCTGGTCTCAGATTAAAATGAGACCTCCCCCCACCCCCGTCCAGATTTTCTCATGTTGTCTTATATTTATATATCTAACCATTAATTTCATATTAAGGACGGTTTACTGTGTGTAATAAAAGGAGCAAGACAAAAGCACTTTGATTTTTCTTTCCTTGAGAATACTTTATGAAAAGGTGCTAACACCAATTTTAAGATGGGTTTCCATTTTTTAATGCAGGTTAACTAATCTTTTTTTTTCAGTAGTTATTCAAATTAAATAACTAGCTTTGAACATAATGTTTAAAACACTAATTATGGGATGAATTTATTAATGTATTTGTGTTCAAGGGGTAACACCTAGTTATTATCCACATGGCATCCTGGTTTTGTCACTCACTGGACCCTAAATGCTTCCTATGGGCTAAGTAGTTAGAGGGAGGTGGGTGCGGTGAGGAACAGATGAAGACTTAACCCTTTAAGAGCTCACTGTTGAATATCTTGTACAGGGTGCCATGGTATCATAATGGTGACTGGTTATTACCTCTTCAAAGTAACAACAGAAAAGTGGACAGTTTACTTAACAACCCAGGTTTGCTCATCTCTTCTAGAGTCCACTGTGCTGTTGGCAGAACTTACAAAAGTATAATATAAAACTGATTTGAAAATATTCCTAAGTATGTGCTCATAATCTTATGAAAGAGCTGTTTGACTTTGATTTATAACTAAATGTGGGTAACGAAGAATGTGTGGAATATTTCAGAAATGCTTCTCTTAAAAGCTTATTCAGACTTCAAGCTTTCAGAGATTAATGGTTGTTCTAAACAGCATTAAGCTTTGTCTTAAATATTTTTATAGAAGTATGGCCTCAGAGAAACTCGTAACATAGGTACAGTGGGCCTGTTATGGAAATCTGTTATCAGTGAACATGAACATCTGGCCACTAAGTTCTTCAACTGAGATTTGAAGCATTTAGGAAAGATAACTTTTCATTTGGAATCTTACACGTATTTGTGATATGGTAGTTCATGGTATATGATGGTAATTTTTTGGTCATGGGTGTAAACTCTTTAATTTAGTACTTAAAGGATTAATCTTCAGATTATGTAATGAATGTCACCATAAATTTTAGTTTACCAGTAACTCTAAACCATGTTAATCTGATCTCCTCCCTCTAATTTGTTTTAAACTTCATTTGGGATAGGACCTCTAACTCAGATATTTATTGGTTTCTCCTGTGAAGGCATGCATATCTAAAGATTATCTGAATCTTCTCTCCCTAAAGCCACTAGATACGAAAGTTTACCTAGAAACTTTTCTGATTCTAGTAGAAGATGACTTATGAAGGTTTTGTTTCTTAAATTTCACTTTCTCTACTTGTCTAACAGTGGCCAGTTTGTAATGTTTATATAGTTATTCACCGTGCCTTAAATTTTTATACTTTATTTATGCAAACTATAAAATTTCCCAGAAATACATTAAATGGTTTTGTCTTATTTTTAAGCCTCTTTCACTTTTCCTTCCTTTTCAACTCTTTTTATAATTTCTATTCCATTTGGATCATAGGTTCATGATATTTTACCCTCTTCTAATCTTTTTTCTCATAGAAAAAATGAAATATAGAACAGTTTGAGAATCTTTACACTGAATTAAATTCTCTAACAAAATCCTGAATGAAATGGTAGTTACATTTTGTAAAATGTAACCCTGGTACTGGTTAATAAAGCTAGACAGATTTTTAAAAAATATAATAGTGTTTTTAATTAAAATATTAACTTGAATACTTTTTATTGGAACATCCTCAAAAGAAACATCATGTCCAAAGACTTCTAACCTAGAAATGAAATGGTTATATTCTAATGAATGGGTAAGTTTATAATCTATGATACACTTAATGCTTTAGAAGACTCAAGGTTAAGTGACCACATATAAATTATCCCTCAAATATTCAAATTCTTAATGTCTAATGTCAGAAATATCCCATGAAAAATTCCTTTATTTCTGAAGATTATACAGATTTAAAGTGGACTCCTACGTTCACCAAATCACACTTGCCATATTTGAGCTAAGTGGAACCAGAATTAACTACCTCCTAAAACATTTCGTTCTATTGCTTCCCAGCTACTGCAACCAAAATTCCAGTAACCAGAGCATGTGCTGTGTTCTATACCCATAAAGTAGTTTATTTAGGCCGTTTCTAAGGTTGCAGCTTGAAAGGTTTTGCACGTAGCATTCAAGCTTATCTTAACGAACAGTCTAGTCTTTGAGAGATCATGTATCATCAAGGTCTGCAGAGTTTTCATTGTCATTTGCAACAAGGGCTTCTCTGTTCTCATAAGTCCAGAAGCCATTCAGATCGATTAGAATGGTGGTGACTGTGTCTCCTTGATTACTGTTGATTAAATCCTGAAGAGAGATTTTCAAAGGATCCTTTGGTTTAACCATGTCAAAGATTTCATCCTGTGAGAGAGAGAATTAAATACAATGAAATCTGGTACCGGATGAACTTAATTTCTATCATATAGTGATGGGAAATTCAAGGCTGACACTCGTCCTCGTTTTTTTTCTTTTCCATTTAACACACCTTTTCCCCAATTACAATCAGAATTTTACTGGAAGATTTTTTAGGTATGTGGTAGCTATCGTAAAAGGCAAAGAAACTGAGACTCAAGAGTTTCATCAGATCCAAGCTATATAGCTAATTAGTGGCAAAACTAATGCCGTGTTCTTTGAATACATGTTAAGTATTTTATACTTTTCTGTTGTCTTCCAATTCTTGGTAAAGCAAGGTCTTGATTTAAGTACAAACTCAGCTCAAACTAAAAAATGCTTCCAGAGCCAAGATAATGACAAGGTTTCATTTCCAGTATTGATGTCAACCTTTTATACTCTGGATCTAAGATGGGTGGTGGGTGGGGGAGATTTGGTATTAAGGAATTCCAGAATGACCATGAAATTGTGCTAGAATTTACTGGAATAGATGGAAAAATCTCTTCTATCTTATGAGACACATCTATATGAATATTTATAAGGAATTAGGTACACGTTTTCTAATCTTTTTGAGTAAAATTACTCAGGATTTAGTAGCATTCAAAGAGGGAGATTACATTTTAAAGAGATTAGAACAATTCAGGTAAATGAACTGTATGAGCTTTTAATCTTGTATGTTTGTGAAATGTCCTTTTCTAGGTTAGTGGCAATTTAAACTGACTAGTTCTTAGGTTGCCTGTTGCATAGTTTCACATTTGTTCATTTATAATAAACCAAAATAGCCCTTATCTTATATTTAATTAAAACCAGATGGGTTATGTTACTACATTACTTAGCCTGAACCAGATTCTGTACTGGATACTGAATGTTTTTTATAGCTGGTAAAGTCTACAAAAATGCTAAGTAGCATGTATTTCACATAGTCTTAGTTTTCATATTGTAGGACCGATGTTTCCTTAATAATATTAAAGCAAGCAAGACCTTTGAAGTAGATTAAAAAAGTGCCCACGCCTAAATACAGTCGACTCTTGAACATGGATCTGAAATGCATGGGCCCACTTAGACATGGATATTTTTGATAAATACAGTATACTGTAAACGTATTTTCTTTTCCTTACGATTTTTTCTAAGTTTTTTTCTCTAGCTTCATTTTAAAAAGTATAGTATATAAAACGTATACAAAATATGTGTTCACTGACTGTTTATGTTATTTATGTGAGGCTTCCAGTCAAAAGTAGGCTATTAATAGTTAAGTTCTGGGGGAGTCAAAAGTTATACTTGGAGGGGGCGCCTGGGTGGCTTAGTCGGTTAAGCATCCAACTCTTGATTTCAGCTCAGGTCATAATCTCATGGTTCCATAGGATCAAGTCTGGCATGGGGCTCTGCTGACAGCGCATAGCCTGCCTGGGATTCTGTCTGCCTCTCCCTGGCTCACAATCATGCTCTTTTTCTCTCTCAAAATAAAAGTTTTTTAAAGTTACATGTGGATTTCCAACTGCTTGGGCAAGGCTGGTGGGGTGTTGCCCCTAGCTCCTGTGTTGTTCAAGGGTCAAGTACAGTTACCAAGTTAAAAATTCATTTTAACTTGGAATAGGCTGCCAAGGGATGCAGGTTATATTCATTCTCTTAATTTTCAATCAAAATGAGTGTTTCCAATGAAAATACAGGATGACAATGCTAAAATCATTACCTATACAAATCATTAGTGAAGTGTAGTCTCAGTTTCTAATGATTGAAATACTGGTTCAGAACAAATAACAGCAAATACCTGATTTCATATAAAAGTTTCTTTCATATAATATTTCATTTTATATGATTATCTGGTGATAATCTGGTATTACATATACCAGTAATACTGGTGATTATCTTGTATTACATATATTAAAATAAAAGGTAGAGAGCCTGGCTGGCTCAGTTAGCAGAGAATGCGACTCCTGGTCATGAGTTCAAGCTCCATGCTGGGTGTAGAGCTTACTGAAAAGAAAAGAAGAAAAAAGAAAAGAAAAGGTAACCTTGACATCTTGAAATGAAACAGGATCTTGTCCGTGGATTTTCATTAGTTCCTGTATGGCCTGTATGGATAGAAATAGGTCTGTAAATAAAAAATGCACAACAGCCCCCTTCCTGTCCCATGGTCCCTTTCTAGTTCTACTTCCTTTTCCTATCAGACCACAAGCCTTAGCATTTCAACCACCCTTACCAATATTCTTAACTTCCTTGACCCTGCTTCACATCCAGTCAGCAAAACTTAAACAATTTCAACCTTTTGGGATCTATAGTTTGCTACTGAGAATTCCATAAAAAGTATCCAAGACTATAGATTTTTGCTACTATGTAGGAAATACTATGTTCCAACCTCAGAATGGCCTTTATATGGCCTAGCAATTATTCTGTTATGCCTGATCCACTCATTTTCCAGGAATGCTGTTCATACTTTCACCATTCTTTAAGACACCCAATCTGCCACCTCTGCCTCCCACCCTATACTTTGCCTTCTACTTCACAGAAAAATATGGAAGCAAAACTCCCTCAAACTCTTCTCTTTTATAACCTTTAACAACAAAAAACCCCTCCTAACTAAAGCAACTACTGTGATCCAGTTGGACTAATAAATATTTAGGTGAGAGTCATTCACTGGAAAATTCTTGGTAAATAGTCAAATAAATACACTGTAGGTGCCTACTCTGTAAGTGGTGCCACCAGTATCAGTGTGTGCACAGTGCATCTCTTTGAAGTAGAGGAGAATCTCTGAGTATACCCACAGCTACTAGAGGGGTAGACCTGGAGATATATCTAGAGTGGACCATCTAGGTCCACCATTATAACTAGGATATTGATGTACAAAGACTTTATGAACGGCTTAGGATTACAGGACTTAGTACCAATACATAATTACTTTAGCCCATAAAACCAAGCCTAAATATTTTGATAAAATAAATGCATGTATAAAAAAAAATTTTTTTTTTTGAGAGAGCAAGCAGGAGGGACAGGAGGAGGAGAGAGAGAATCTTAAGCACAGAGTTTGACTTCATGGCTGTGGGATCATGACCCGAGCTGAAATCAAGAATCGGACACTCAAAGTGAATGAGCCACCCAGGTACCCCAATATAAAATATTTGACAAAATTTAGTATTCTAAGAGAGGATACTGTAAAGAAATCTTTATGAAAAAGGGCTGTGTTTAATTTCCAAAAGATGTATGTACTTTGTTTTCCTAAAATTGAATCTTATTGAATAGGTCTGACTAAAGTGGGGGATCCCTATGATGAGTTGGTATTACATTCTCAGATTAGCCATGGACTCAATTTTTTAAGAAAGTATGCCAATACTGTAATTGTAATTTATCCTAATATTTGCAGTCATTACTACAGGAAATCATAATGGAAGTTTTAGGGAATTTAACATGAAACTTAGAAATATATAGTATGAAATTAAGAAACCAAATTGTGATTTTTTTTTTTTTTTTAATTTCTAGGAGAGAGAGAGAGACAGCGTGAGCAGGGGAGGGTCAGAGAGAGAGGGAGTCACAGACTGAAACAGGCTCCAGGCTCTGAGCTGGCAGTCAGCACAGAGCCCGACGCGGGGCTCGAACCCACGAACCGCGAGATCATGACCTAAGCGAAAGTCGGATGCTTAACCGACTAAGCCACCCAGGCGCCCCCCAAATTGTGATTTTTAAAATATCCCAAATTTTTAAATGGAAAAGAGACAGCCTCTGGGAAAAAAATGGTTTATGACAAAGATGTGAAAATGTCATTTTTATTGTTAAAAAAAAAAAAGCCATTTCTCTACTGTTGTCTTAACCATATAAAAATTAGTCTTCTAAAAACTGTGGAAATAAGACAATGGAATGAAATACTACTGTACAAAACTATTCTAGATAGAAAACTCATCAAATTTAGGAACGATCTGTCTTAAAATTGCAGACATTGCTACTTTTATACCTTGTGCATCTGAATGCTTATCAGAAAAGATACAATCAAATTTTCCTTCAGAACTCATCATGATACTCTCTGAGATCACCTAAGGCACAACATAAGTACTTCAACAATAATGTTTTCATGCTGAAATGTGGCACACAATTCTAGCCAGTTTTAAAATTATTATTCCTATATTTAAGTTCCTTTTTTTTTTTTTTTAGTTTATTAGAGAGTGCATGTGTGACACAGGGTGAGGGGCAAGAAGGAGAGAGAGAATCCCAAACAGGCTCTGGGCTGACAGCATAGAGCCTGATACGGGGCTCAATCGCATGACCTTTGGATCATGACCTGAGCCGAAATCAGATGCACAACTGAATGAGCCACCGAGGTGCCCCTACCCAGTTCTAAAATTATTTTAAATATAATAATAATAAGGGGTGCTTGGGTGGTTCAGTCAGTTAAGCCTCTGACTTTGGCTCAGGTCATGATCTCAGTCTGTGAGTTTGAGCCCCATGTTGGGCTCTGTGCTAACAGCTCAGAGCCAGAAGCCTGCTTCAGCTTCTGTGTCTCCCTCTCTTTTTGTCCCTCCCTCTCTCATACTCTGTCTCACTCTCAAAAAATGAATAAGCATTAAAAAAATAAAAAATACTTAATAATAATACTAATATTTTTACAGCACAGCATGTAAAAGAAATCTACTACTACCAAAGCCTGTAAAACTTCTACCTTTTCTGAATTGTTTAATTGAAGCTTCTGTAGCATTTTACACATTAGTTTTTGATCACCAAAGCACAGAATTTCTTATGCATATCTGTATCTCCATGTCCAGTATAACCCAATATATTTACACTTTTTTAGTGTTCTACAACTAATCAAATCAGCTTTTAGTCTATTTAAATAGAAACAAATCAAAACTAAAAGCAGGCCTGATTTTTTTCTAACATCTGTTAGTAAACCTTTATGTTAAATGAGACTTACCCTAAAGAAGTAATTAAGTGAAAAGACATTCAGATATCCTTTGTTCTCAATATCAAGTAATTTGAAAATATACTGCAGAGCTGCAGGTTCTTTTCGATTCTCTAACGCAAGAACAAAGTCCAGGTAGGTCTTATAATCCTATAGAAAAGTAAAGGATGTTCATTAGAAGACTTATTTAGAATTAATTTTTCAAGTGAGTATCTAATGATTTGAAGCTATTTTACAATCAAAGATGGCAATTTTTTTAAAATAAGAAATGAGATACCCATTTGTATACTTAACATTGGTTTCTAGGAATTCTACATAGCAGTTAATCTGTACTGGGGATAGTTTGGGGGACACAGCTTATTTTCTTATGAGAGATTTTTTAAGGAGTAATTTTCTTTGATTATGCCTTTGACATGGACAGGACAGTGACCAAGCTATTGTACAATGCCACTAAATTAGTATCTTCATTTCAGTGTGGTCACTTTGGGAGGAAAAAAGGTTTATTTGGAATGAGTAGTATATTTAGTTACTTTGAAATATTGTTTAAATATTTTTAAATCAGATGATTTCCAATAAGAAGCCATCTTAAGAGTATCAGATATTCTATGGTGAAGTGAAACTGTTCTCATCCAAAGAAAAAAAAAAAAAGCACAAATGAAAGCTAGAATGACATAAAGAGAACAGAAAGCTTTCTCTACAAAAAAGGGATACTCAGATTACTGTTTTTGCATAGTGAAAAGAACACTTGAGAGATTCTTACTTAGAAAAAAAAAAATTTCATTCTTGGAAAATACTTTTTTAGACTAAAATTAAGAATTTCTTTTTGGGGCACCTGGGTGGCTTAGTCTGGTTAAGCGTCCGACTTTCGCTTAGGTCATGATCTCGCGGTTCGTGGGTTCGAGCCCCACATCGGGCTCTGTGCTGACTGCCAGCTCTGAGCCTGCAGCCTGTTTCAGTCTGTGACTCATCCCTCTCTCTCTGACCCTCCCCTACTCATGCTGTCTCTCTCTCTCTCCTAGAAATAAAACATTAAAAAAAAAAAATTCTTTTTGCATAAATTACAGTATAAAGAGCTAAAGAGATGCAGCCTCATCATGATCTAACTGCATCCACAGTTGAAGCCTCTGGTTTACTTGATTCACCAGGAGTCATTATAATAGTGCAAGCTCCTCACTCTGAGGTATAGACAGCTGTTAGAGTCACAAAGCAGAGTTTCTGCACTTCTTCCACCCTTTTCCTATGCCACTGGCTATCAATGGAGTTATTCAGAAAACTCCTATTAAAGCTAAATGATAAAACCAAATACCCCAATATTCTACTGACAATATGACCATTTCTTAACTATCATTCATTTGGCAATTCATCAGATCCTTAATATGTGTTTTTAATAGCAAGGACAGGGATTTTAAAATGCTAGAGGGGCACCAGGGTGGCTCAGTCGGTTAAGCATCTGACTCTTAGTTTCGGCTCAGGTCATGATCTCATGAGTTAGAGACCCACACTGGGGTCTGTGCTGACAGTGTGGAGCCTGCTTGGGATTCTCCCTCTCTCCTCCTGCCCTTTCCCTCTGTGCTCCCGCTCTTTCTCAAAAAACAAAACAAAACAAAACAAAACTTAAAAAAAATAATAAAATGCTAGTTAGAATTTCCTTAAGTATTTTGCATTGTTGTGACAAAAGGACAGGTGCATATTAATTGTTAGGTACTAATACAGCCACTTACAGAAAGTAATACAACCTGATTCTTAGATTTAAACTATGGCATCTGTGGTATTATACCTGACATGATAATTTAAAGAATGAATCCTCTATATGAAAACAGTCAATAGGATTTGACAATTTTTGAGACTTTTGTTTTCTCACTAGTCCATACTCTTCAGGGGAGGTGGGCAGAGGATGGACTAAATGGGTGATGGGTATTAAGGAGGGAACTTGCTGTGATGAGCACTGGGTGTTATATATAAGTGATGAATCACTAAATTCTACCCCTAAAACTAATATTACACAGTATGTTAACTAACTAGAATTTAAATAAAATCTTGAAACCTTGAAAAAGAGAGGCATATTAATAATAAAATGAAAATATTAAAATTTTCTATTTGTCCTGAGTCCATGTTTTAAAGTGAATTTACCTTAGGATCAAAGGCTCCAAAACTCAAACAATTTGATTAGTTCAGACTTTTTAAGATACTGATGTAAAAATAATGCTATATCACATCAAGAAAAGGGTTTGTGGAAATTGTGGGAGCCTAAATTTTTAAAATTTATCAGAGATTTGAACTGCTACCATTTCTCCATCATAAGTGAGACACTCCTGGAAAACACGATCTAAGAAGACATTGGTCATGGTGGCTGTTCCATAGCGGGAGAGTTCTTCTTTACTCAGCATGCCATTGTGATCCTTATCAAGATTCAAATACTGGCCTTGGGAAGAAAAATGATAAAAAGACATTTATGACAAAAATAAAATTCTAATTAGAAGACAAAAGAATAAACACAAAATATTCTTTCTATTGGCTAATACTTTGATTTTCAAACTATATTAGGGTAGTGCTCTAAGATCAACTACCGCTGGACTCTCTATCATACCACCCCTTGAGCTACAGCCAGTCCAAGAAAACCCATCCTGAAGGCCAAGGCCTTTGCGCTATTTCACATCATTATCTGTTTCAGTGTGCAGCTATTTAAAACTTTCCTAGCTTTTGAAATTAGAGAGATAGGGGTCAATAAAAAGCACTGAAATGCTAGTACTTGAAAGCAGAGATCAAGGATGCCAAAATGAGTCAGAAGACCACCCAAGAGAATAATGTAGCAGAGTGATGAAATTAAAGAAAAAAGCAAACAGTCCCTAGAACACCTGCCTCTGGATGTTGACAGCAGTGACATTTTATCACAATGCAAGATAATAGTTGTTGTTCATAATGATGCTTTTGAGTCAATAAGAAAGGGTGAAATTACATTCTGTATGTTCTATTAAAGAGTAAGAAAATGACAAGTAAATTTTAGCAGTTTAGAATACTAGATCATAAGGTAATTAGAATACTTTGATCCTAAGCTAAATTAGCCTATGTATAAAACTGTCCTTTGAACACCAATTAACTGAGAAAAGGATAACTCAAATTTTAGCATTATGATAGGAGCCATACCATAAACCCTTAGGGCAGAAGGTGCAGAAAACCAATTAGTTTCTTGACTCTCTTTGGACAGTTCCTCATCCCTTAACTAAATAAACACAGACATAATTAGAAGACAGTAACTGTCAAGTGATATAATTAAGTATTTTAAAAACATATTTACCTCCAATAAATCATCTAGGAAGCTGCATGCTAAAATATCTTGAATTTTAATCTTCCCTTCAAAGAACAAACACAATTTCATTTAAATAAAAAAAGAGCAACTCAATTTTATAAACGTATTATTTTAGAAGAGTAATCACACAATTGGTACTTTAAAGTTTCATATTTTACATCAAAAAGAACCAATTCTCTGTATATTACATAAAAGGAATAACAAATATCAGAATAACTGGCTTTTTAGAACTGGACAGAGACACTGATTAACCAATTCATATACCATTTTAGAGATGATGCAACTCTTAAGAGGTTAGGTGATATGCCTAGTGTCACACAGCTGGTTATAGATGGTGCAGATAAATCATAAAAGATATTTATATATTAAGGGCAATGACATGTTAGAAAAATAAATGACATTTTCATGACTTTTCTCTGCTTATTAAGATTTAGAATAATATCTTTATAATATCTAAGATAAGATTTTCTTTTACCTGTTCTTAGAGGGTCTAAAAAGAAGAAGAATTTCCTAACTGCTGTACAAACATAAAAGGAGTAAAAAGACTTTTCCAGCCCATCTAATTGTGGCAAGGTAGGGATAAGTTCCAATATGTAGTTTTCTAAATCCTGAAAGAACAAAACAAATCAAAATGTTAAAGTGTTAATGTCTGACCCTGTTTCTTCATTAGACACTGGATGCTGAATTTCAGTTCTAAAAATCATTCAGCATTAATAGTATATTAGTGAAATAAAATCTTATGTTAGTGGTAAAACTTATATTGTGTTTCTACCAATTTACTTTTTATTTCAATTTAACATATTTTTGAGTAGGTAATATATTCTACATAATTCCAAATTCAAAAGGAACAATAAGTATCATTGAAAGTTTCCGCGTCTATTTCCTCTCCCCAGAGGTGACCTACATTATCCAGCTTCTGATCCATCTTCCCAAAATAACTGATGCACATACAAACCAATACATATATGTGCATATTTCTCATTTTCTTTTTATGCAGCATATAGTTGTATACTATGCAAATTCTTCTGTATCTCGCTTTCCTTACTTAACAATATACTTTGCAGTCATTCAATCCTGGCTCTCAAGGAGTTTCTTGTTTTAATTTTTTAATTTAACAAATTTTTAAAATATTTATTTTTGAGAGAGAGGGTGCACATATGCATGCAAGGGAGAGAGGGGCAGAGAGAGACACAGAATTTGAAGCAGGCTCCAGGCTCTGAGCTGTGAGCACAGAGCTTGATGTGGGGCTTGAACTCACAAACTGTGAGATCAATAACCTGAGCTGAGTGAGCCACCCAGGCACCCTGAGGTTCTTGTTTTGTTTTAATATAGTTTATTGTCAAATCGGTTTCAATATAACATCCAGTACTCCTCCCAACAAGTGCCCTCCTCCATGCTCATAACCCGTTTTCCCTGAGGTTCTTATTTTTAAATAGCTATGTATTTTTTCATTGTACGGATATACCATAATCCGTTATTTTTGCTCTCTTTTCATTTTATTTTTAATTAAATTTTTTATTAATTTATTTTTAAATTTACATCCAAGTTAGTTAGCATATAGTGCAACAATGATTTCAGGAATAGATTCCTTAATGCCCCTTACCCATTTAGTCCATCCCCCCTCCCACAAAACTCTCCAGCAGCCCTCTGTTTGTTCTCCATATTTAAGAGTCTCTTATGTTTTGTCTCCCTCCCTGTTTTCATATTATTTTTGCTTCCCTTCCCTTATGTTCATCTGTTTTTGTATCTTAAATTCCTCATGTGAGTGAAGTCTTATGATATTTGTCTTTCTCTAATTTTGCTTAGCATAATACCCTCCAGTTCCATCCATGTAGTTGCAAATATGTACCATAATCCATTTAACCAGTCTTCTATTGCTGGACATTTGGATTGCTTCTAATCTTTTGTGATACTAAAAACAATACTATAGAGACAATAAGCTAATTTTTCATTCACAGATATTATGAGAAAACATGGGACATAATTTCTGTAAGTGGAATTGCTGGGTCAAGGAACGTGCATGTTTATTTTTGATAGACACTGGCAAACTTTCCACCTTGCCCAAAAAGCCCACACCCATTTTACACTCCCACCAGCAATGTGAAGGCTAAACCAACGGCTCCCAGCTTGTGCCCCAGGAATGCTTCAGTGAACACAGGGGTGCAGCAGGATATTTTCAAAATATCAGGAGAAAAGTGACATCTGCCAAAGAGTACATAACAGATGTCAGCTATGAGCTCAAGGTAGTTTGCATTTTCAGCACTGAGATATGTGCTTTTTAATGACATCAATCTTTGCAAAGCTAGGTTCTTGATGGTTGCTATGATAAAGCAAGTACCACAGGAGAATTAGTGTGGAACCGAAAATGAGGATGACTGTCCAATCTAATTGCCAGGTTTGACTACCCATACTTTGCCCCATGGGCACAGATTTCATTAGTAATTGTAATTTAAGAATGAAGCAAAAATATTACTTTTCTACTTTATATGTATTATTTTTTTAAATGACTAATACAATAACAAACTTAATGAAAACTTTCATAAACTGTTTAGAACCAGCCGGTTAATAAATGGAACTGTTAGGTGTTTCTTTTGATGCAGAGGCACTATGCAAAAATTACTGAGATACTAAGGGCACCATGAATTGAGAGTTTGGGAAACCACACCCCATTTTATATTCCCTTCTTAAATGCATTATCAAACTTTTTAATCTTTGTCAGACTGAAAAATTCCTGGCCCTGACATTTATGGCACTCATGAATAACCAAAAGCTTTCCTCTTTTTCTTCAATGAGTTTTAATGCTGTTAAAACACTATATTCTTTTTATTTTTGAAAAGCTCTTTTTAATAGTTGGGAAAAAAAGTTGGAGAAAAAGAACCAAAAAAGGAATTTTTGTGGTCAATACTCATTTTTAAAGTTTGTTTTTGTTTTAGAAACATGTTATTTGTAAAAACAAAAACAATGTTAGAATCACCTATAATCCAACCAGTAATAACTACTACTACTATTTTGGTGTCTACAGTAGTTATTAAAGTAGGTTAATACTTACAGATTCCCGTAGGTAACCTTGTCCAGCAACATCATATAAACTGAGTCCTATTCTTGTTTGATGAAGCCAAACTGACAATACATAAGATGAAATGTAATTTTAAGATCTGTTCTTTAGCATATATTTGAATAAAAGGAGATAAACAGCTAGATTAGAGGACAAACTAGTAACTCTACCAATATACTTCTCACACATATATTACCCCAAAATTGCTTGTAACAAAATATACCATAGAATTGTGGCAGATATGACCAATTCTACCTTGCCTAAAGACAATAAAGTTGATACCCTTGAGAATATTGCCCTTTACCCATTAAACTTGATGTTTCAACAAAAAGGGACAGTGATTGTAATGTTATGCCTTCAATGAAGGTACATTTATTCTAGTGGGGTTAATTACTATGACTAAGTATTAGTTAAAAGTCATATATCTAGAACTTCACAGACCTTTATGGAACTTAATAGGAATCATAACAACTCCAGGTTGTTTAATAAAAACTCCTAGAATGTGATGCTACAATTCTGAGTTTGAAACTATCCTCAGGCAACTCAACCTATAATACAACTGACCCTTGAACAACATGTGTCTGAACTGTGTGGGTCCACTTATACACGAATTTTTTTTTTTCAATAAATACAGTATAGTACTGTAAATGTACTTTCTCTTCCTTATGATTTTTTTTTTTTTTTTAAAGTAAGCTTCATGCCCAGTGAAGAGCCCAATGCAGGGCTTGAACTCGATCCTGAGATCAAGACCTGAACTGAGATCAAGAGTCAGAGATTTAACTGACTGAGCCGCCCAGGCACACCTCTTTTTTAAGTAATCTCTATACCCAACATGGGACTCAAACTCACAATCCTGAGATTAAGAGTTATACACCCCACTTAACTGAGCCGGCCAGGTGCCCCACCTTACAATTTTCTTAATAACATTCTTTTCTCTAGCTTACTTTCTTGTAAGAATATAGTATGTAATACATGTAACATATATACTATGGATTAATCAACTGTTTATATTATTGGTAAAGCTTCCAGTCAACAACAGGATATTAACAGTTCAGTTTCGGGGGAGACAAAACTTATACTCAGATTTTTGACTACACAGGAGGTCAGTGCCCCAACCCTTGTGTTGTTCAAGAGTCAACTATATATTGATGAAATAGAATTACCAGTGAATTAAAATAATTTAAATCACCATACATTAAAACTCTTATTTTAGCTCTTAATATATAGCATTATTTATTTATTCAGAGAGAAAAAGAGAGCATACAAGTTGGGGAGAGGGGCAGAGGGAGAGAGAATCTCAAACAGGCTGCATGCTCAGTGTGGAGCCCAATGTGGGGCTTAATCCCATGACTTTGGGATAATGACTTGAGCCAAAATGAAGAGCTGGATATTTAACCTACTGACCCACCCAGGCGGCCCTGATAATTTTAGCTAATATCTTTAGGATACATGTTTTTGTTTTGTTTATAATAATGAATCCAAATTGGGGCACTCGGGTGCCTTAGCTGGTTATAAGCATCCAACTTCAGCTCAGGTCATGATCTCACGGCTCATGAGTTTAAGCCCTGCATTGGGCTCTGTGCTGACAGCTCAGAGCCTGGAGCCTGCTTCAGATTCTGTGTCTCCCTCTCTCTGCGCCTCCCCCAACTCATGCTCCCACATTCTCTCTCTCTCTCACACACACACACACAAATAAATAAGCATTAAAAATTTTTTTAAATAAAATAATGAACCCAAATTTAGGGTAAGAAGTCTCAGCTCTAGTAAATTCCAAGAGAGAACTGGAAAATAAGAAAACAATTCTGGGTCAAAAGATAAGAAATTCTGCTATTTAGACTTACTAAGAAAGTTGTTTCAGATGGAAGGAGGACTATAAAAGCATATGCCAAAAACTCTTTGATTCCCAGATAAGAGGAGTTTAAGCACAATGAAAATGAAATCACCTTTTCTCATGACATAATTGAAGAACTGCATAATAGAAATTCTCCCGTAAGAGTCTGTATGAAGGAGTTTAGCAAAGACTTTTGCTGTAAAAAACTGCCTAAGGAAAGGAAATAAAGATTAAAATCATCTGCCAACATAATATAAAAATGACTTCTATATTGAATTAGCTAGCAATAGCATGAATCCAAACAATTAAAAATCAAAATGAAAAAAATCAAAGGGAGAATCATGGCTCAAAACTTAAAATATTAAGTCACAGATCTTTGTATTTTATCATCCTAAGAATGAAATCTGGCCATGTGTAGCAGCAACATGGATGGACTTTGAGGGTGTTACGCTGAGTGAAATAAGTCAGGCAGAGAAGGACAAATGCCGTATGTTTGCACGTATAGGAGGATTAGGAGGAACTTAACGGAGGACCGTGGGGGAGAAGGGGGGAAATAGTTGGGGAGAGGGAGAGAGGCAAACCATGAGAGACTCTTGAATGCTGAGAACTGAGGACTGATGGGTGTGAGGGGCGAGGGGGGAGATTGGCATGAGCACTGAGTGTTATATGGAAACCAACTTGACAATAAACTATTTGTAAAAAAATAAAATAAAAAATAAAAATTCAAGTATAATTAACAAAAAAAAAAGCCCATACTGTTGTAAATAAATTTACTATATATATATATATATGTAGTTGTATAGTATGTAAATATACCATATTATGAACTATTATTTATTTTAATAACTTCACCAATGTAATTTTTTGACTAATTTTATTAAATTTATTAATAACTCAAATGGACTCAAACTGTCACACCACTCTTATATTTTCATTAACATTTATTTGAGGCATTTAAAATGCTTAACATAACGTACTCCTTTATTAATTATACTATTCTTACCTGCACTTTGGTCCAGCCTTTTCACCAACTTTCAAAAAATTTTCATAATTAATCATTGCTTCCTCTCCAATCATAGGTGGTGTTTGGTGCTTATCCAGCAAAAACCATAAGTTCTTAGGAGAATTAGAGAAATGAAGATGTTACAGTAACAAAACAAAATTTAACATTAGTTAAATGTGTTATCTCTATTAAAATGATAGCCTGATAGAAGTTTAATATTAAGATGAATCCCATCCCCTATTATCCTTTTGATTACTAATAACATAATACAACCAGCTAGCAATAGCTAGCATTTATTGAATGTCTAAGTTTAAAGTTTTCATATACAGTACCTCCTTAATCCATATAACTATGTGACGTAGACACTGTTATCTCTACTTTACAGATGAGATTTGGAGCATAGAAATGATAAGTCCATTGCCTAAGATCACAGAGCTTGGCTAGGATGTGAGCCCCAGTGTCTTTTTTTTTTTTTTTAATGTGTATTTATTATTGAGACAGAGAAACAGAGAATGAGTGGGGGAGGGGCTGAGGGAGAGGAAGACAGAATCTGAAGCAGGCTCCAGGCTCCAAGCTGTCAGCACAGAGCCCGACGTGGGGCTCGAACCCACAAACTATGAGATCATGACCTGAGCCCAAGTCGGACGCTCAACCACCTGAGCCCCTGCAGTGTCTTGACCCTACACTGGTGACTCTCAACTTTGGCCTCATGTTAGAATCACCTAGGGACTTTAAAACTTTTTTTTTTAACGTTTATTTTTGAGAGAGAGACAGAGAGAGAGACAAAGACAGATAGCGTGAACAGGGGAGGGTCAGAGATAGAGGGAGATACAGAATCCGAAACAGGCTCCAGGCTCTGAGCTAGCTGTCAGCACAGAGCCCGATGCGGGGCTCGAACCCACGAACCATGAGATCATGACCTGAGCCGAAGTCAGACACTTAACCGACTAAGCCACCCAGGCACCCCATTACCTAGGGACTTCAAAAAAAAAAACAAAACTATCTTTGGGAGAACAGTGCCTAGGCAAGCTCTGTGGCTGATTTTGATAAGAATTATTGCTCCAGGGCCTTCACCCACTCTGCAGTAATGGCTCCATTAAGAAACCCTGAGATCCTATATGACTAGTACAAATAAGAAATGGCTAGCATCCAAAGCAACCTTTTATACTTACCTGTAATTCTTCATTATCTAATAGTTCTCTGCTTTTCCTCTGCAGAAAGACAGCTCTGGATTCTTCTCTTAATTTTTGTAGTAAGACTTCATCTTCAGCTGGCAGCTAAAAATACACTAGAGTTAATTTCTATGCCTAAATTCTAGACTTTTGGATTATGTAAAATATATTTGGCCTCAGAAAATAAGTACATAAAATAAGTACACATCCTCAAATTACTTTTTGTATCTCAATTTTGCTTAACTTCAAGATATTCACTTAAAAAGTTCATTTAGGGACACCTGGGTGGCCCAGTCAGTTAAGCATCCAACTTTGGCTCAGGTCATGATCTCATGGTTCATGAGTTCAAGCCCTGCATCAGTGTAGAGCCCACTTCAGATCCTCTATCCCTGCCTCTCTCTGCACTTCCTCTGCTCACATGCACACACACTCTCTTCCTCAAAAATTACATTTCTTAAAAAGTTCATTTAACAAAAAAAGATCCACAGAGGATTCAATGATCAGAAAGACCAGATCCCTTCCTAGAAAGAACTAATAGCCTAGCCCAAGTTTCATTTTATATTCTCAGAGCACTCTTTCCACTATAACCTTAGTCTGACACAGAATTAAATTAGGACTAACTGAAGATAGACTGCCTTAGCAGAGTATGCCTTTTGAGCCTAGATGACCTTACTTCTTGGAAATGGTTAAGCCAGTGTCTATTGTGTTCACCTCCAAGTAGAGGGTCTGCCCACTGGGGTGATTTCCATAAACAAGGCTTAAGAATGACTCATTCCAATTCAACTTCAAACAATTTACTCTAAGGATTTCTTCTTCTATATCCCTGCCCCATTAAATGTGGCTAAGTAACCATAATCCAAATTAACCATGGTTTTTATGTTTCATCTACAAGAATTAAGATGCCATCCCTCCCATGAAAAGGAATGGGGAAGAAAGAAGCATCAGGAGGTGAGGCTGGGGCTGAGACTCTGTGTTCCAGTAGCTAGTCAACCAGCTAATAAGCCAAGGAGAGACGTGGTGACCAAAGATAATAGGTGGTTTCTCCAAAGCTGTGGAAAGATGGAGAGAGAAGAGAAAAGAACATCCCAACAATCCACATCTGCAGACAGGAAACCATCTGGGATCTGGGAGAGGTCACGGTGAGGAGGAAACAGAAATTGGGACATAGGGGATTCCCTCAGGAACCACATAGGAGAGCCAAAGGTTAGTACTGGAAATACAGGAAAAGCGAGTCCTGGGCTCAGAAATGGGGTCATATCAACATCTAAGGGCTGTTCCTGGGTTAGTAAGATACGATTTCATAATCCTGATTAAATGAGATCATGAATATAAAATGCTCTGAAGTACATCAGCACTCAATAAATGTCCATTCTCTTCCTGGACCCCCCAGACTATTGAAAATTTTCAGCTGTCTAGTGGACTCTGTTTAAGAAAGCATGAAATGCAAAAAGCAGAAATATGTATGATATCCCATTTTTGTTATACATGTACACAAAAGTATGTAGAAGAATTCATGCAAAAATACTTACTTTACATCTCTGTGCAATGTTATGGGAAAATATCAGCTGTATTTTCTCTTTTCCATGACAAATGTGGCTTAGTTACCTAATTTGTTTTACAAGGTTTTATTTTTAAGTAATTTCTATACCTGATATGGGGCTCAAACTCATGACCCCAAGATCAAGAGTTGGATACTCTACTAATTGAGCAAGCCAGGTACCCCTCGTCATGTAATTCTTAAAAGACTGGGAAACGGTATTATAAAAAGGTTTCCAATAAAAATGGTTCATTTGGAAAAAATTTATACTTATATTAGTACGTTGCTCCTACTTTCTTTGTAAATAACGTTATAACTGAGTTAAGGTAGTGGTTTTAAGAGACATTCTGGGGGCGCCTGGGTGGCTCAGTTGGTTAAGTGTCCAACTCTGGCTCAGGTCATGATCTCATGGTTTGTGAGTTTAAGCCCCACATTGGGCTCTCTGCTGACAGCTAGCTCAGAACCTGGAGCCTGCTTCAAATTCTGTGTCCCCCTCTCTTTCTGCCCCTCCTCCACTATGCTCTGTCTCTCAAAAAACAGATAAATGTTAAAAAAAAAAAAAAAAGACATTCTGCTAAAATTCCATTAACTTTTCTACAGTGGTCACATTTTACATAATACTAAATAGGTCTTATTCCTTCAACTTCAGCTATAAGTAGCTTTCTTAAGGTCTTACTGTGTACTAAAATCTTTTTCAAAGACTTTATGATTTTGGCACGAGGAAACAATGAACTCTAACTCTTCAAGTTTTCCATTTTAATGTTTTTCAGTTCAACCTTGAGCAAAATGTATTATACTTTACATCAGGAGTAAAAGACAAATGTTAAAAACGGTGATCAGCCCAAGTAAACCTAAGTCTTATAAAAAAACAACATAATCCTATAGAATACCTACCAGAAATATCCACAGGAAAAATCAGGAAGAAAAAGCCAATAACACAAAAAATGGGGGCCAGGTAACAACTTTGTGTTCTTATACCAATTTATATCACTCTGAGATTTTATCAATTCCAAAACAATAAGATCAACAAGGATAAATACATAAAATTTAAAATATAATCCTGTATTTATATAAAAGATTCTGATTCCATTTTAAAAATTAAATTTCACTTATAAACTATGTAAGACATTTGCTTAGATACCACTTACCCTATAATAAAACCGGGGAATGGTTTTATAGAATTCATTTGTGTTTTTCCTATCTCCTTTCCATTCCGAGTAGTATTTGGTAAATAAATCCATTTCTTCATCTTTTAATTCTTGTTCACTTTTTTTTTCTGGTAACAAAATAGATTAAAAGGGGATAAGCACTTTTAAAATCAGTATTTTTGGGGCACCTGGGTGGCTCAGTCAGTTAAGCATCCGACTTCGGCTCAGGTCATGATCTCATGGTTTGTGGGTTTGAGCCCCATGTCTGGCTCTGTGCTGACAGCTAGCTTAGAGCCTGAAGCTTGCTTCAGATTCTGTGTCTCCCTGTCTCTCTGACCCTCCACTGCTCACGCTGTCTCTCTCTCTCTCTCAGAAATAAAAACATTAAGAAAATTTTTTAAATCAGTATTTTCTACTGCAGGGTGATTACAGTGCAAAAAAGACATTCAAAATTGTGCTTAGATACTGAACATTATTAATTTTTTGGAAATAGCAAGAATCACTATCTTCAACTGGAAAAAAGTCCCCTGCACCTTCAACCATATCTCAGCTGCTCCTTCCACTTCTTTTTCTTTTTATCACTATACTTGTCTCTTCCTCAAGTCACTGCCTCTCTTACAGACTTCTGGCATGTTGATGATTCATTCCATCAAAGGTACTTACTGAGCACCTACTATGTATAGAACACTTAGACATGGGGGGCTACAGTGGTAAGAAAACAGACACACCCCCTTGACCTCATGGAGTTTCAGCCTTGAAATCACTATTCAAACACTACCTACTGCAAACCCCTTCCATCTGAAGCTCAGATCTCAGGATGCTTTTACCTTCCAAACTGCCTGCAGCTGGCCTATAACCATCTCATTTAGTCAGTCTGCCACAGTGTGGACCATAGCAATGGGTGTGGTGCTCTTCACCTCAATGCCTTGCAATCATCAAGGAAGGAAAAACGTTTATGATATTAACCATGACACCTCAACTCGGGAGAGGGGTCACCTCTGTCACTCAGTTCCATGACAAGTCCACAGATCTTAGCTGCTCCTAAATATACTAACCTTAAACTTAAATAAAATCGTAAACTCTCATATACTCTCAGATAACTTTTCTCTCCTGGTTATTCAAAACCTCACTGTCATAAAACTCACACTTCAGCCTCACTGAAATCTTCAATTCTGGGATCTAATTTCTCAATAGACTTACTCAATAGGTTTACTCTCATCTTCCTGGTCTCACTTCCTTCCAGTATGCCTACAGTTGTTCCCCTAAACCTCTCTTATGTCTGCATTTCTGCCACATGTGCCATGTTAATTCTTGGAACACACTGTCAATTCTCTTATTTTCTGACCATTTATTTTTATTAATCTTTCTTCCTCATTTCAACTTTTGTAATGTGACATCTAAGTCCCAAATGTATGTCACTAATCCAGACATTGCTCATGAACTCTAAACTCATACATTCAAAATAAAATAATTTCATCCTTACACTCCAACGTATCTAATAATTTTCCCATCCCTCACCCTACTACTCTTCTCCTAATTCCATGTTCCAATCCCAGTTAATGGTATTCATCCAGTCACCCAAGCCCAAACCCCTAGAGTCATTTTCATTATTTCACTCACTCTTTTTCACTCAACTATTCTGGGGATACACAAGTATACGTGTGAGTGGACACATGCACATGTGTCTATACCTACACAAAGCTTTCAACAGTGTCTGGGAAAGCTTCATGGAGATGAAACTGAGCAAAAAAAAAAAAAAAGAAGAAGAAGGCAAGGAAGCAGGCTATCCAGATATGTTGGGAGAAGGGCATACCAGGCAAGGAAACAGCCAGTGCTAAGGCCCTAAGATAGCAGTGCACCTGGCATGTCCAGGGAAGAGGGAGGCAGTCAGTGTGGCTACAGCAGAGTGAGCCAAAGGAAATAGTAGATGAGGGAAGGCAGATTAATGGGAGGTAAGGCCACTAGTTCATTGGAAGGACACTGGCTTTTATACTGGTGAGGGAGAGAGCAGAAGCAATTAGGAGGCTAATGAAGTAATCCAGGTGACAGATGGTGGTGGTCTGGATCTTGGTGGCTGCAATGGAGGCAGTTAGGAGTAAATACTCTGAATATATTTTCTTTTTAGTCCCAGGATTTGCAGACACACTGGATGTGGATATCAGAGAAAAAGAGCAGTTGAAGATATCTCTAAAGACTTTGACTTGAGCAGATGAGGATGCCAATATCAAAGATGGGGAAAGCTGCAAGTTAGAAAGGAAAGCAGGAGTTCAGTTTTGGACAAGTTAAGATTAAGATACCTATTACAGGGGTGCCAGGGTGACTAAGTGGGTTGAGCATCCGACTCTTGATTTCAGCTCAGGTAATGACCCCAGGGTTGTGGGATTGAGCCGCGCACTGTACTCTGTACTGGGCTCTGCACTAAGCATGGAGCCTGCTTAAGATTCTCTCTCTCCCTCTGCCTCTCTCCTGGCTTGTGCTTGTGCTCTCTCTCTCTTAAAAAAAAAAAAAAAAGAAAAAAAAGATAGCTATTAGGACCAAGTGGCCATGTCAAGTAGGCAATTAGATATAGGGGTCTGGCATTTGGGAAGCGGAAATACACATGTAGGAGACAAAAGCAAATATACAGTATTTCAAGCCTTAAGAATAATGGCTAATTTCACCACGGGCATGAGTGTAGATAGTGAATATAATAGAAGCTGACCAAGGACTTAAGCTTTGGGCACTCTGATGGTAAACTGCTGGGGAGAAGACAAAGATAGAGAAGGGATGACTGGTGAGATGGGAAGTAAACTAAGGGAGTGTGTCTCCCAGAAACCAAGAGAGAAAAGTATGCTTAAGAGAAGAGTGAACTACTATATCCCTGACAGGGACTGCTGGCAGGTCAAGGAAAGCGATGAATAAAAACTGACCACTGGAACCACACAGAGATCACTGATGATCTTGGCAAGCAACATTTACAGCATAGATTTAATCAACAATTCTTTTAACAAGCATTGCTATAAGAGGAACAGGGAAATGAGGCACATCTTAGAAGTAGAAGCTTAAGACAAGAAAGTTTCTTTAAGGTGAAAGAAATATCGCCATGTTTATATACTGATGGGAATGACTGAAAAACTGATGCAGGAAAGAAAGAGTGGACAATGGCAGGAGTACACCTTTGAATAGGCAAACATGGGATTTAGCACACTAATGAAGGAAATAGCCTTAAACAAGAGCTGTACAACCTAAATGATTTACTTATTATTTTATGTATCATCTCTCCCAACACTAAAGCTTAAGTTCTACAAGGTCTTTTTTTGTTTGTTTTGTTAACTGCTATAGCCCAGAACAGTACTTGGCACATAGCAGGCATGCAATGGAGTGAGTTTATGAGCAAAGCAGAGGAAGGGGCATGTGGGTGGCTCAGTCGGTTAAGCTTCCAACTTCTGCTCAGGTAATGATCTTGCAGTTCCTGAGGTCAAGTCCCACATTGGGCTCTGTGCTGACAGCTCAGAGCCTGGAGCCTGCTTCAGATTCTGGGTCTCCCTCTCTCTCTCTCTCTGACCCTCCCCTGCTTGCGTGCGCTCTCTTTCTCGCTCGCTCTCTCTCTCTCTCTCAAAAAATAAGTGAACATTATAAAAAAATGTTTAGGGGCGCCTGGATGTCTCAGTCAGTTAAGCGACCAACTTCGGCTCAGGTCATGATCTCACAGTTAGTGGGTTGAGTCCCGCATCGGGCTCTGTGCTGACAACTAGCTCAGAGCCTAGAGCCTGTTTCAGATTCTGTATCTCCCTCTCTCTCTGACCCTCCCCTGTACATGCTGTTTCTCTCTCTCTCTCAGAAATGAATAAAAAACATTAAAAAAAATTAAAATTTTTTTAAAAACTGAAGAGGAGGAGGATGTACAAGCACATGTAACTTTTTGGTAAGTTTTCCTATAGAGGGTGCAGGAAAATGTAGCAAAAGCTGGAAGGAGATGTGAGAAGTAATGTTTTTCTTACATGGAGTATATTATAACATGTTTGTGTCAGAGTTGATGGAAATGATCCAGTAGAGAAGGAAAATCTGATGATAGCTGAGAGAAGAACAGAACAGGGTAAATTCAGTGAATAAAAGGAAGAGAGCATTATCTAACGTGGGAGTGGAGGAACTGTCTCAAACAGGAGCATGGAGAATTGGTTCATTTTAACAGTGAAGGCAGAGTGTATGGCATCTATGGTGAGGAAAGGGCTGATAGAAATGGTAAATGGGAACAGCTGAGGTTTTTCTTTTCTTCCAGCAGGATATACTGGAGAACTGGATGTCTGGAAGATGAGAACTGCCAGAACTGAGTGTAAGGAAACGAGGAATATGTGTAAATAAATGACTGAAACACTTACTTTTAGGTTCATGCAGATGAATTAAAAGTGAGACAATTTACCATGGTTTCGTTTTTCTCCAGCCGCTTTTGGCTACCCGGAGGGCACGTGTGAAATAGTAAAGACAGTTTTAACCAGGGTAGTAAACAAACAAGTGTAAAGGTGAAGGAAAATGGTAAGGAAAACACAGATTACGAAATCTAAGATAAGGAGGGAAGTAAAAAGTGTGATAGTAAGAAGGCATAAGATCGATGGATTATAGGTTATGGTAGGATCGAAGAGTTGTTGGAACTGGGATTTTTATTCCTCAAAAGCCTAGGTCAAAGCTATGTTAAGTTGGTGCTCTTCATTCTGCAACTCCCCTTCCCGGGAAGTGCGGATCAAACCTTTCAGCAACCCTAAATCACAGTCCAACTGCCTTTGTCAAGACAGCTTTCATAGAAGCGTAAATTGCGGGTCCCAGTAGCTGCTCCTCCTCGATCTCCCCCCATCTTCAGGAATTTAGGGCCTGACTACCTCTGCGAGCAGCCCCTCCCAAACTCACTGTTAGTAGCGGTGTTGGGCGTCCCTAACCGCCGGCGAAGAATTTCTTTCCAGTCCATGGCTGACTCCCGCGCAGCAGCTCCCGCATTTGCTGTTTACTAACCGCTCCACCCTCTACCAGCCCAGACAACAATCACCGCCCAACCTCGTAAAGGTCAGGAATACTCAACCGCCATGTTGGACATGGGCGGAAGTCGGCTGAAGAGGCAAACAAACGATTATGGCCACTGCGGAGAAAACGGCGATCACTTTAACAGCGGGGAAAGCCCACTTGAAAGAGACGGGGGAAAAAAATCCTCCGCAAGCCAGCACCCAACTTCACCAAGTCCAATTTTATAGGTGCAGAATAAGGAAGCCCCAAAACGTGGGGCTTAGGCGCGTGTGTACCACGTGACTCAGGAGTTCTTAGTCGTTTCCGGGACGTGGGGGGGTGCTTTCTTCATTCACAATTTCTTTTCATTGTTCATTGGTGACATCTAGGGGCCCTAAAGCTTCCCTGAATATAGCAGACGTCTTCAGCAGACGCTTCTGCCACTAAAAGCCTCAAAATCGTCTTTCTGTCGCCGTCAGGCCCAGAGGAACGCCTGCGTCTGGTTCAGTCGCCCCCACGGTAGAGGTCCTCGCGGTGCATTGTGGACGTGGTAGTTTCCGCCGCGTTTATGGTTGCGTTAAGCGTGAGTGCTGAGGTGAGTTGTTGAATGGAGTGAACTTTGTTTATGATCGGTTCGTACACAGCAGCCAGTGCCCCTTGGGTACTTCCCTTCCTTACTCGGCTCTCTCCCCATCTCCCCACCCTCATATCCTCACCTGACGCCTTTGGCTGCCCGGGAGGGTTGTCATGCAGGGCCATGGGCCCTAGACTCGGGCTTTAGCCGCTGTCCATGCGGCTCCTAGGTCTGGGGTTGGGGACTCCTGGTCGTGGTTTTCGACTTTAATCCCTTCCGTCAGCAAGGCCCCATGGGATCCTGACTCTTTTCAGGGGCAGTTGTGATCCAGGCGAATCAAACTGGACGGACCTCCTTGTGCTTTTTCCTCAGGTTCACAGGTTTATCGGGCACCAGAAGATACCAGCCCTATCCCCGAGTTCTGGGACTTGTGACTGACTTTGGCTGTCCCTGGATGGTTGTTTAATGGAGAGAACTCCACAGACTTCGTTGCATTAAGTAGCCCCAAAGCAGGTCCGATTTGTCTGTGAGAAAATGAAAATCCTCTTTTAAGAAGTTGTGCTTGGATTCTCTGCCCCTCACTCCCAATTCCTTAGTTATGCAGTAGAAGTAGGGGCTTAATGAACATCTGTCTCAGTATATCTGGTGCTGATCTCAGTGCATGATGACTTTCTGTTTCACTGGTATTCGAAGCCTTCCTAAGCTTTGGAAGAGCAACCCATACCTTGGCCTAGGCCCAGGACACTCTTATCTCTCTCTCTCTCTCAAAGACTATTATGGCATCAGGAACCAACAGAAGTGGTTTTCTCTTAAAGCAGTGTCTCTACAAAATACTAAAGCAGTGAATCTTCTGATTGCCAAGGCCAGATATCTCAGGAAAGGAGATGAAGACACTAATAAGCAAGTTTCTTCTGATTCCCACCTTTTTGCAGCTGGAGCAGCTAAGAAAAGATCACAAATGAATCCTCAGAGGGAAGATCATGCCTTGCCACCTATGAGGAATACTGTTCAACTTCCAACAAGACCTTTGAATTCAGAAGAGTGGGATAAACTCAAGGAAGATTTCAAAGGAAAGGCTAATTTTGAAAGTTGGATCATTTCACAAATGGCTCACTACCATAGCTCTATAGATGTGGCCAAATCTCTGTTAGCCTGGGTAGCTGAAAAAAACAATGGTATTGTAGGCTATGATTTGCTGGTTAGGTATTTGTATCTTTGTGTCTTTCATAAACAGATATCAGAAGTTGTTGACGTCTATGAAATCATGAAAGCCAGATATAAGAGGTTAGAACCTGGAGGGTATAGCCTTCTCATCCAAGGATTAATCCACTCAGACAGATGGAAAGAGGCCTTACTGCTGTTAGAGGATCTCAAAAAAGTCATGATCCCTTCAAGAAAGAACTACAATGATTGTATCGAGGGAGCCCTCCTTCACCAAGATGTAAACCTAGCTTGGAATTTGTATCAGGAATTGTTAGGTCATAATCTTATTCCTATGTTGAAAACTTTAAAAGCGTTCTTTGATTTTGGAAAAAACATAAAAGATGATCAGTATTCAAACAAGCTACTTGACATTCTTATGTATCTAAGAAATAATCGTCTATATCCTGAGGAATCATTTGCACACAGTATAAAAACATGGTTTGAGAGGTAACTTTGATTTTTTTGTATGTATGTTTTTAATTTAATACCTATACCTAAAAGCAGCTGCCTCCTTTTGTTGTTGCTGAGGATTACTCTATTCAGATTATACTTTTTTTCCTTCTTTGAGATTCGTTTCTCCTTAAAGACAACATTTTCTCTCTTTGGAAAAAGTATAGCATAAACAAGTTGTTGTATTCTCCATTGATCACACGAAAGGAAAATTATAGAGCACTTGTATGTTTTTATGTATTTTTTCTTTTTAGAAGGATCATCTGTTTTCTTCTGCAGTGTTCAGTATGATGTACTTACCAATAGTACTTCTGGCTGGAGTTTATAGCAAGAAAACTGGAGCTGTCTTTGAATCACATTAGTATTTTTAGAAGTTCTTCTGAAACCTAGTAACTGGTATCTGTATGCATTTCATCTGTTTAACGTATGCATTTCATCAGGAAAGCCTGATCAGACGTGATATGCAGGTGTTAAAAATGGAAAATCTCATCGTTCCAGTTCATTTTGGATCTTTCCACCATCCAACTGTTCTCTCCAAGGCTCTCTGCTTTCCCTTTGCTTTTATTCATGTTCCTGGCTATGTCCCTATTTATTGCTTCAGTCTTTTATGCACTTATTCACCACTAATTTTTCTTAGGCTCTTTCATAAAGATTCATTCCTTTTCTGTTTTCCTGTTTTGCGCTATATATATATGTTTACATACATATATACGTATATATATATGTAAACATACATATACGTATATATATATATATATCCTCTTCACAGAGCTTTGAAGTAGCAATCATGCTTAATTATCTTATTTAACAAATTTATTGAATATGAGTGGAGGAGCTAGGTTGTAAAATTCTTTGAATGCCAAGGATTTGGGATTTCATTCTGTTACCTTGGAGTAGAGTTTTAGAAAGGTAACTGCCGGGGCACCTGGCTCAGTTGGTTAGGCATGCTGCTCTTGATTTTGGCTCAGGTCATGCATGATCTCAGGGTCATGAGACTGAGCCCTGTGTCAGGCTCTGCGCTGAGCATGAAGACTGCTTAAGATTCTCTCCCTCTCTTTCTGCCCCTTCTTGCTGGCATGTGCATTCTCTCTCTCAAAAAATAAATTAAAAAAATAAAGAAGAAAGGTAACTGCCAAAACAGAAAAAAGGATTGGAGAGGGGTTAAGATTGGATATAGGAAGATCTCTTTGGAGGCAATTGTAGGTTTGAATGAGAGATGATGAGACCTTGAATTACGAACTAGGGAAGGAGAAGGCAAAAGAGTCCATAGAAACCGATGGTAGTATATGTAAGAGGAAAGAAGGGCTGCATTGATTGTGCAAATAAATCAGGTAGTTTTGAATGCCTCCATTTGGCTAAGTACTTTGGGAATTTGTGATGTAAGATCTATTATGGCATTCACAACTTAATTGGGAATTCAATGCTTGACAGTTAATAGTGGTGTATAAGAAGTTAGTGTAAGGGAAGAAATTACTCCAGGCAGGAACGATCTCTGGTAGCGTTATGGAGGTTAGAGTTGAGTTTGATTTAGAGGTTACACTATTAATGTTAGCTGCCACATCCCGTGAAAGTAGATTTAGACTTGAAGATGAGGGTTGAATGACCAGAGGAGGAGTAAAGGGAAGAAGGAGGTCCACAGTAGGCTACTGTTCTCTCCTTAGCCCCATCACAGAGTATCAATAAAAATGCCTATTTTTTGGTTCTGTGGCAATCTGAGCTTTTCTCTTTTTTAAAAAATTAGAATTATTATCTCATTTATTTTATCAATTTGCTTATTGTGTTTCAGATGTTAGGAATCTGACCTTGTAATGATTTGGTTTTGTAATCTTTTTTTTGTAGTGTTCCTGGGGAACAATGGAAAGGACAGTTCACAACAATCCAGGGAAGGTAAAGACCAGTATTTTATTTTATTTTATTTTTTTTTTAAACCTTTTTTTTTTTTTTTTTTAATGTTTTACTTATTTCTAGGAGAGAGAGAGAGACAGCGTGAGCAGGGGAGGGTCAGAGAGAGAGGGAGTCACAGACCGAAACAGGCTCCAGGCTCCGAGCCAGCAGTCAGCACAGAGCCCGACGCGGGGCTCGAACCCACGAACCGCGAGATCATGACCTAAGCGAAAGTCAGACGCTCAACCGACTAAGCCACCCAGGCGCCCCACCAGTATTTTATTTTTAACTTGTTTGATTCAGGTTTAGTAGGTTTTGTTGCTACTGATCAAAAAAGTTTTAAGACTACATTAGAGATAGGATAATTAAGAGAGTACCCAAGAAGAAAGCCATATTTTGCATATGGAGAATTTGCAGTGCTCAACATGTTTTACCCATAGGTGCAGTGAGCCTCGTGTGAAGCCTCAGAGATGTTTTCCCCTACAGATCTGGAACCTAGTTGTGTTTTGGGAATAAGTTTAAAAACTTTATCTGGATGCCCAGCAGTCTACTTTTTTGGATTTTCTGGCACCCCTAATGTGTGTTATACTATTAGTTTTACAAAAAATTGCATGTGATGATCACAAAGATTATAATATTCTTTTTAAATTACCTTTTAATTTCCTTCCGTCCTATGATTATTCATTCTAGAGAAAATTCTTTTCCAGGATACCATTTAACACAAACTTTTGTAATTACAGTGGTCAGTGTTTGGGCTGTGGAAAAACCATAGAGTCTATTCACCTGAGTCCAGAAGACTATGAGTTTCTGAAGGGAAAAATCATGAGGGATGTGATAGATGGAGGTGATCAGTACAAAAAGACAACCCCTCAGGTGAGTCCCAAACAGGTTTTATTCCTTTTTTGGAATAAAAATATTTCTAGAATAGGACTTGGCAATTTTTTCTGTAAAAGTCTGATAGTAAATATTTTAGGCTTTGGGGTCCATACGGTCTCTGTTGCAACTTTTCAACTTGAAATAGCATATATAATACAATACGTAAATGAGTGAGCAGGGCTCTGTTCCAGTAAAACTATATTAATGAAAATTACCTGGGCTGGATTTGGCCTGCCGGCTATCGTTGCCA